ATTATAACTCATTAATTAATGTAAAATTCTTGTGAAGAACGCCTTTAGTTCTAAATAATTTCTTTTTCAAACAAATCTTGATATTTTGATTAAATTTGGAATCTCAAGGGCGTCATAGAATTAAAAAAATATTAACATTATGATGCCCTTTAAATATCAAATATAAAATTGTATGTCATAGACGGGCACACCTTACAAATGTACAATTTCATTTGTTATAACATTTATAATTTTGATGAATAGAACAAAATAATTTTCGTTCTGTGTGCAGTAAAGACTAGAAATTTGAGGTAAATTATGAAATTAACATGATTTTATAAATCTAAAGTCTTATCAAAGACATTGAATGTGTTATCATAAAATTTTTATTTGTAACGGCTCGTTCACAAGAGTGACAAATCTTACAGTTGACAGTGAACCCAGAAAATGGATATTTACCTTATATTTAGGTTTTCTGTGTTTATGAGGTTGACAATTTTACATTAATGATAAAAAAATGACAAGTGATATACAATATAATGAAACAAGAAGTCTAACTACTAGATATATCGGATGTGTTTTTTTTTTCATTTCTCACTCTATTACTATGGGGCAGTACCGGAGAAGAGTTTTGGAATATCAGAATTGGTAACACAATTACTGTAAGTTCCAAATTAATGTCCAGGAAATAGGATTCCAACGGGTAGTAAGTTTTAAGCCAAATGCTCAAGGTCGGCTAGTTTTGGGATAGACTAAAGTTCTTTCATTTTGCTTCCAGTTTACTTTTATTAGAGAGATATTGAGAATATTTTAATACCCCGAATAGCATCCTATTTTACTTTTTTAATGATGGGTATTAAGACAACTCTCTGGAACTTTCGAGGAAAGCCCAATGCTATTAGGACATTAGAGCCAATATTATTTCAAATTATTTTCTGTTCTAGTTGTTCTGTAATCAAACTTTGATTATAGATTCATCAAGTGTAATTATAATCGGATTGGTGACAAATTTCGCTAAGATAAATTTGATATTAGAAAAATATTAATTTTTTTGATTATATACTTAAAAATATGTACAATAAAAATAAAGAATTTAAATTGTATAAAATAGTTGGTCTTTAATTACATTTAAACTATATATATATATAAGAGTACCTGCTATTTTACTACGTGTCTATATAAATTAATATTAAAATTAGTGTTACCCGGTGGGACACCTTATATAAGTAATTATAATATGATATATTAATTGCTTATAATAATTTTATACTAATGTTGTCGCTTAATAGAAATGTGTTTTTTATTAAATCATATAAACGCGTTAATAATTAATAATTGAAATGAATGATTATTTAAACAGCAAAAAATTTACATCATGTTTATTTTACGACCATACACAAAATAATATCATTATATTTCATTATTTTATCAGTATATGGATTTTTTATGAACTACAAATACTTTGATTGTAGTTAAATATTATTAATGATTCGAATATGATATTACATATATTTAATATATTACGCACATTAAGTACATTTCACTTTGTATTTCAATATTAATAAGACAATATTTTAAAGATTTAAAAAAAATATTTAAAATTTTGCCCAATGAAGATGATAATTTTTATCACAACTAACATGTGTAGGTAACTTGTTAGTTACCGTTAAAAGTTGCACTCTATCCTATTCCCTACGCACAAGTACCGCATTGACACAATATATTAATTAAAACGTACGCAATCAGGCAAATTTATATTTTCTTATGTTTCAAACTATTCTGTTATAAAAATGATAAATTAGCACTTCTCGAAACAGAAAGCATATGTGTTTGCATGAGTTTCTTTTTGTTTGGAGTTCATTTTTAAAAGCGCACTCTCCAGTTTTATATTGAAACTGAATGATCTAAAATTATGTGTTATAATAGTTTGAAGTATGAAAAATCGTGTGCAGACAGGGTGAGTTACGAGCTGAAAAAGTGAGTGAAACAAATGAACCCGGTTGGGTATACTACGTGTGTATTTGTGTACGGGAGACTTCACATAGTGTGTATGTAAAGGAGGAAAGTGAGGAGGAGTTCCCCAAAGGGTATCGAGAGAAGTTGGTAAAAATAAAACGAATAATGAGTCGGGCAAAGCGGAAGACAGTCGACAGTAGCGCCCAAATGAAGGAACGCAGGCGCCGCCCGCAGCGGGCTGACCGTGTAAAGGAAATCCCGCCCATAACCGGAGACGGTATGGACGCCGGTACCGTCAATCGGCTGCCGCATATCTCAAAGCCGGGGGCTCAAACCGCGGATAGTCGACCTAATCTGAGGTCAATTTGTTAACTTAACTTAAAAACTCGGCGACCGGCTCTTGTGGCATAATAGTCTCCAGTGCGTGCGTATAATAATAAATAAATTACACAAAGCGGATCTCGTTAAGTGACAAAAATATACGAATTTCGGTTAATAAATCATTGAGAATAGTAAAATTTTAATGAACAACTGGCTAGTGCAATTTAATAAAACAAACGTCATTTATCTTTAATTGGGGCCAAGCTTCGTGTGCGATCCGTCCGCAGTACGCGACTAGTTCGGCTCGAGTGCGACCGGGACGGGCCGTGGCGTTTAATGATCCACCGAAATCCTACATAAGCCCACCGTTGAGTTTTGGGGATTTTTCTGTATACATAGTGCTAATATAAATTATCTGTTTAAATATATTTGTTTTTCGATCTGCCCGTCGTTCCGCTTTGTTTCACTCTATGGTCATTTATTTGCTTTGTTTTTGATTATAATGAATAACGACAACAGAGAACAACAGTGAACGAATCACCAAAACAGGGTCTTAGTAGGACCTGTTTCGTTACCGTTTTAGAAACTTTTAAGGTATAGTTTTAATTTTACATCCAATTTTTGATATAAAAGGATCTTTTGAATATAGACAATTTTCAAGCCTTGTAACATTAGAAAAAGAGCGTTTTACTATTTACTTTTACAAATTAATTTGAAATAAATAATATATATTTTTTTATTTGATCGTGTTTTTTTTTAACAAATAAAATGTCATAATTTTATGCATAAAGATAATTAAACAGCTTGAAAATTCGAAAACTTATTCAGATAAAAAAATCATAATCAAAATGAAAATCATATAAACAAAACTATAATAAAATAATAGTCAAATTTTTACTAAGACAACTTAAATAAAAATAATGAACCAACTGGATACAATTTTTTTTTTTTATTTTGGACTTCTTGTTTTAAAATTAACATTAATATTTGAGTTTAAATTGTACAAAAGTTATTGATTCATACATTTCTTTCATTCAATATAAGCTAATAAAAAATTAAGGTATTATAACTAGTTTAAAAAAGTAAAATATAATGTTTTTGTAAACAACTTTTTTACAATAGACTATGAAAGAATTATTTTTTTGCTTTTATAGGTCAATATTCTTAGAATAACATTGTTGATTCAAAAAATTATAAGTCATAGTCAATATTCATCGTGTCCAATATTTTGAAAAATTGACCAAAGTAGACTTAATACTTATCTTTTTTTAATTGTATGATATTATTACAGATATTATTTTTAAATTAATTAATGAAAAAAGGAATGTATTTTTTAATCAAAACAATTGTTGTTAACATACATTTGAAAAAAAAAATATATATATTTTAAAATTTAATTAAATGTACATACATTTTTTTATAGATTTCAGTCAAATTTACTATTATACGGTATTTACAGGGTCAAAATAAAAATAATCGTCAAATATTTTGGAATGAATAAATTGTTTAAAATTTAATTTTTACATCTTGCCGGAAAATCGATATAGTAAAATTATTTAAATGCTTAATGCCAAAATATAATAATTTCACTAATTAATAAAAAGTGTGCCTTATTATGTGAGAAATCATGTAGGTATTTGGTCCATTCCACCTTATGGTTTTTGATTTATACAAATATAGAATAATTATTATTATCATAAGCTATTCATTATTTTCAATAAATATTAAATTAGTCTTGATTTAAAAATATTATTTTTTTATTTAAATCCAACAATGTAAAATGAAATGAAAATAATATTACATATTTTATAAAAAAAAATACTCTTTATTAAAATATTTATTTATATTATCATCAACGTATAATAAAAAAATAATTAATTGTAGAGTATTAGATTATAAAATAATTAACTCACAATATTTGTTATGGTGATCTTAAATAGTTAACTCATTCTCTTACGAAAGACACTTCAATGTATTTTTTTGCGTTTGATTTTTGATTAATTTTGAACAGCAATAAAATATATATATATATATATACCCTTGAGTTATTAAGAATATTTTAAAGAGAATAAGTTACATTAACTTATTGAAAATAATCTATAAATGTTAATTATATGTATTTTTATAAATGCCTAATTTCGTTAAATAATTGTTAAAACTCTTCAGATTATTTAATTGTGTAACTGCGGTCATGTATTTATTGATATGTACATACTTCATAGATAAAATGGTATTTGCTAACAACGTAAATTGAAATAGGTTTCCTATGTTATCATTATTATTTGATTATACTATGACAGCACAAAGTAATGTAATTTTATGTGAGACTTGCAGATTTTTTCAAATGAAATATTCTACTCTTTAAAAGTTTTTGAACAATATTGCACTTAGCTACTTAACTCTTGTTAATTATTGATGACATGTAACAAATCTTCCGAAGTTAATCATGAAATTCGAACATTTTGATAAAAGTGTAGATTATGATATAATTGATGATAACAGTTTTCAAAACTCCGAGAGAATATTGCCTAGTCGTAATTCGCATTATTTATTTATGCTTAAATTACTAATGTACAACAAGACAATTATATTACAATAAATACTCTCAGTTTCATAAAAATATGATAACGTTACTTTCTCGAATAATTAATTGATTTGATTTTATCTTTAGATTCTCATTCAAACTATAATTGGGTTTTGAACACCGAGTGTGATGATCGTGTAGATCTAAGACGGCGGCAATAATGATGGAGAGATTAGAAAACCTGACTGACCCAAGCCTGTGCTTGCAGGATTTGGTGTCGTCCACAGGTACTGATCACCATAATGTCGGTCTGCAACATGCATCTCCGGCGTCTTTTCACCATCCAGTCCACGACGGAAGTGCTGGCTTACACCAAGGTATGCTGAGCCATCACCATGTTCATCACCACGATGGACACCATCACCACCACCACGCAGCAGTACCATGTCCACCTACGCTGCTACATCACGAACCACTGGAAAAACTAAAAAGAGGTTAGACATTTACTAATTAATATAAAATATAATCAATTACCTTTAATCACAAAGTTAAATATGTTTTATAAAACTAACATGCAAATGGGTACTTTTAACTAAAATACAGTACACGTCCATAATCCTGTTGCTTTCCAAATCTACTAAAATATTTGAAAGTTTTAATAAACACTTTCGACGCGTTTCGAAATAAGAGAATGAGAATATACTTTTCTGATGTTATTTATGAAAAATTTCAATCGTGTTCGAAAAAAATTGCAGTGATAGACAACTATAAAAAAAAAGCTATCATGACTATTACTTATCTCGAGAAATAAATGTCAAATAACCTTTCATCATTATTAAATTTTTCATTTATTAAATATTTTATAGAATTTGAGGAAAGAAATTGACATATTGAAAGTTCTATAAATTTATTAAAATAATTTTACTCAAAACTTCAAATTTCGGAAAAATTCTTCTTTAAATATGAAGAAAATTGATAAAAGTTATTTTTCTACGAGAACATTACATCCCTTTATGACAAGTTTCTACCTTTAAATATAAATAATGAGAAAGCGATTTACATTTTTTATTATAGTTAAAGACAAAAAAGCTAATAATTTAATAGAAGCCAACCCTTAGGAAAAAAATTGTTTTACATTTTTTTTTTAATTTAATTAAATAGAAAAATAAAATTATAGTTAATACATTAATAACTTATTTTTCAATTTTATTTTGTTTAGCCATCATAATTTTTAGTTGAAAAATTGAAAAACTGATAAAATAAAATTGTCAAAAAAAATGTAGTTATTTAATATATTTATATGATTAGAACAATTTATGTGATATTATAATCTAGAGGTTTAATAGACATTCTCTAGACTTTCTTAATAAAATTAATTTGCTTCCTATCTCTCAAGTAAATTTTAATAGATGTAAATAAATATATTTAATTATTGATCGATTTAAGTTACTGTGTTAAAATATTGAAGGAAATAGTTTCATGTAAAATAAATCTATCCATCACTTTTTTTTTAGCAATAGCTTGAGATTTTTTAAATCGCATATACATTATTCGCTTTTTCTTTCTATAATTCAACTCTAAAAAATCAAATAAATTATTTATAATAATTTATACTATGTAAAAACAGAGAGCTAACACAGTCATAAAAATATGATCAAAGTGAGTTGGAATTCTTATGGAATATTTTTTTTGATAAAATTCGGATTAAGAACTGAATGGGCTCCGAGGTAGTACTTCAAAAAGGTCTTCCTTATGAAAAATATCGCTACCATAAAAAAAGTGACGAACAAAATAAAAAAAACTAGAAAAGTTCCGTCACTGGGTCATGACTAGGTTAGTAAAATTCGAGATGGGTTCCGGGGCGTTCGCTCTCCTTGTCCACCCCTTAAATACGGGCATGATAAAAATACTATAAACGTTAATAATTACAATACTATAGTATTAAAATCATGTTGTTTATTTAGTAACTAAATACATGTTAATTATTTACTTCACACCGTGGAAATATATTTGTTGTTTACTATTCAATGTAATTGTAACAACCATTCAGATTGCAAGAATAGTGTAACTTATGAATTTACACAATTATTTATTTAAAAACTTGGTAAACGGTAATAAATAGATCTTAAGCTAAATGTGCTAAATTATACTGGTGTTTTTGTAGATCTCGAAAAACACACATTTTATTTTTGACGAAATATTTATGACCGACAATTACGTGTCGATATATTTGAAAAAACTCGGCGGACACAATAGTTTTCGTATAACACTGTTGGTGAGCTATGTGACGGTGATGGAGTTTAATGGTTAATAATTTAGTTCGTTATTGTTACTCGGGGGNGATGGAGTTTAATGGTTAATAATTTAGTTCGTTATTGTTACTCGGGGGAAGTCCATTAGCATAATCATTGTTTGTGAAACGGCGAAAACGCGTGGGGGGGTGTCGGGTTGGGGTCGGAGGGCGGCAACAACAAGTGCGAATTCCCATGTAATATAATACGAGCTCGTCAGCATTCATGATCGGCGCCCCGTGAAATCAGCGCGAGAGACCCTAAAAATAAAACGCTGAGGGTGCGGACGGCAAAAATTATGTGCGCGAGTACAATACTATTATTATACATTCTGTTATTTTGCGCCTTTTACTACATTATTTTATGTTATTTTTGCGAGCAATGTGCGGACGCTTCGATGAAATTATGTGCTTCCGTCGCAACATTAACCTGTGCGACCCCAACGCTCACAGTTGTCGTTGACAATGTGTTTGCTTTTGATAACTACAAATTTTGTAACGTTGTTTACAATTTACTGTTGAATTTGTTTTTTACTTTAGCGTCTAAAGGGTCTACAGAGTAAACACGTTAAAGCTTAAGCAACATCATAAGTATTTTTTGTACTCACTAATTGGTCGTTTTGCCGGTAATTAAAATTTGTTTGACGATCGACGGGACGCCGGTTTCCTAGTTTGTGGTCGTTACACAGTTTAGAAGAGACTAAACAGTTTTGTTTCTCTATACCTGCCTGTTTTATACATTGAGTCGGTTTACACTAAAATTTCCTGTTTTTCCATTCAAACACACCCATTTCCGGTGTTATAATGTTTGTTTTTATTTCGATTATGTTTTCATAGTTTTTTTTTTCAAAATTGTATACCGTTAAAGCATAAAATTGTTGGTGTTACTTTTAAAAGGGTTTATTTAAAAGTATATATTAAATAATGTTGAATTGAAGATGATTGCTGATGTCCTAAGATAACATGCCTCGTCGAATCGCATGACCGCGAGGGCATAAAATAAAAGAGAGATGGTTTCCTATTAGTTTTTATTTACTTATCAGCTATATATTAATATTTCATCTTTCTTTAAACACGTGCGAATTTTTTTTGAAAATGGGATGTAAAACTCAATTTGCCTTATATACCCGACAGAGTGTATTCAAATTTTATTATAACATACAAAAATAACTAATTAATGTTTTCAATGGACTTAATTTATATCTCAATTTTATTGCCCAACAATGAAATTATATTAACTTAATAAATTAGTCCAGATCACATAAATATTACAGCAAATTACATTATTTATCTATAAAAGCATTTACTAATTGTTAGCGTTATTATTTTGACTTTATGAACCACCGTAAAATTCGCGATAATTCGGGTACGCTGTTAAGTGCTTTTACTAATGTTTATTTTATTCATCGAACGACAAACGTACAAAAAAGAAACGTGGAAAGTATATGAGAGTCGATATATATATATCCTTTACACGTGTTAACTAAACCTTGTGGCTTAGCGGATGTACCGAGTAAAAAAATACAATTACATAACTCATACAGTCTCTCCCTCGTGATGACTTTGTTTTGTCTGACGTTTCGGATGAAATATTCTTCAAGTTATAAAATAATACAAAAAAAATAGATACAACGCACTTGGAGTGTTTTATTTTGTGGTTTTACTATCTATAGCTATATAAACATAAATTAATAACCTACTCGAAGGGGGTTAAGGTCACCGTTTGCAAAATAATTTCTTTTTTCCCGTCGAAATCCCTCGGAAAGCATTATATTTACGAGGAGAGGAGGCGAAGTTGGAATTCCCCGCCACTACTCCCATGTCGTGCACTAAACGAACAGTCACATATTATACACTGTCCTGGCACAGTGTATCCCCAGGGGTTTGTGGGACGCTTATGTTTGGTACGACGTGCACAGTAATTTTGAAAAACAAATTACCCCTTTTCCCGAATAATAGCTGTGCGGTCAACCTTATAATTATTCCCTTAAGATACAACCCTTTTGAGCGAGGAGCATCCAATAATTTATGTAAGCAGCAAGTGTCTACTTGTATATTTGCATTTCCACCCTTTAAATACATGTGCGGACCCGCAGTGTATACAAAATCGCATATGGACCGAATTCAGGCGGTGATAGTGTCCGTGTGCAGTCAACGCGAGGTCTGCCCGTGTTAAAACCGCCTATTGTTACCGATTTCGCGGTACACTCGTGCCGTTTTTTATTCAACATTACACATATGAGGCGTGAAATAGGTTTTCGAGACACAGTACATGTCGTAATTGTTATAATTTTTTTTTTTTTTGTTCCACGGGACAAAGGTTTGTAGCGAATGGGTTCATCATTCCTATTATTAAATTTATTGACTTGTTTTATATACTCGAGTTGTGAGTCAGATAACAAAAATAATTTATTCTGACGTCGAGTCTAGTGAACATATTGATCTAGAGCGAACGATATCTTTTGAAGGAACTGGAAAAAGATAAACACGGCGAGTCTCGAGTAGTTGATTGTGTGCAATAAATCAAACAAATGGCAAATAATTTATTCTAAGGTTGCACGACAGAGTAGTACTGCAGCTATATTAACTTACACGTTATATGAAAACGAATACTGAAAAATAATATGACTATAACTACTTAAAAAAACCATTGGTCATGTAACGCAAAAGTTTTGTTTCGATAATATATTTTTATGGGAAAAATTGAAGCAATAATATTTCAATAACGACAAAAATATAAATTATTTGGATAGCCGACAAAGAATAAAATCAATGCGCACAGTGCTGCGATACAACACTCATATTTTTAAATACTCGAAAGTTGTGCTTTGAAAACCAAAATAATTACTTTTATTAAAAATTGTATCGCGATGACACTCGCACGTTTAATTGCATTGAGTTATAAATATTCATACAGAAAAAGTGAAATTAAATGCGGTTATATTAACTAACATTATTTTGTCGTAGTCATAAATTCGTGTGTAACCATTGCCAAATGACGACATTAGAAGATAATTTATCGAATTCGTATTAATGGCGACTACTAGCCAGCCATTTGACCTACTCAATAATAAACGTATTATTCGTTATGTGAAACAGGTACCGACTTAAAAATCGGTGCGTTCCAAAAAAACCAAAATCGAATCGTATTACTGAGTCGCTATCGTATGACACGGCGTGAGAACTGTCGTCGAAATGACACTAATTAATCACCGGGCAAAGCAGTTGTATTAAATCGATATGATTTGACGGTGGCCACAAGTCGGATGACCGCGGCCCGGGAGGTGCAGCTGGTCGGTGCATATTCCGCCGCGGATCATTTGAGCCCACCGGAAACCGATCTACCGTCATCCCTCTTATTTACATTTAAACGAGATCGTCCCCTATTTCCTGTACGGTCACCGCATACGCATCACGCCACAGCCTTATTAGTGTGCGGACACGCGCCACGCAAACACAATCGACACACGTCCCGTTGTGTGTAGTGTCACTTCTTAATAATGTAATTGCATAGAACCCGCGTCGAATTTTCGGTGCGGTCACTCGTGTAAATATGTCCAATACGATTTTCCAAATAATCGGTTTTCACGGTAACCGAAAACTACTACTGTGGTCCGATTTCGTACAAAATCCATAACTCATCGATTTGTCCCGAAAGTTTATGGGTTTGTTCGTTTCTGTTTGACTGGCCTTAGTTCGATTTTTTTTGTGTAATGACCTGTCGGGTTCCGAGAAAATCCCTCCAAAAAGTTTATACGGATGTTTAAACACGACTATTTGATTTCTAAATGGAATTTTTTCTGCGGATAACACAGACAAATATTAGTTTTACTATTCATGACGTAGGGATCAATTAATAGATTGTTTGAAATTAAACATATATTTAAAATATTAATTTAAAACTATAAAATACCTTACTCGAAAACCATAGGAATTACTGAAAAATCGCGTAGAGTATGTGTTTTTGCGCCGATAATGGTGAAATTGTTCCAGAACACACGATTTTTTTACTAATTTTCGTAGCTTTTCAGTTAAATATTAGTATCGACAAGTATTTTTTTTTTTTGCTTTTTAATTAATATTTTAAATACACGTGTTAATTTTAAATCATATTAGCCACGAGTAATCAATTTTTATTATATATTAGTTTTTAAAATAAATGTTCAACCATTGAACGTATTTACAAACGCAGATAGCAATAAAAAAAAATATCATTATAAAAAAAACAAAAGAAAAAATTACTGCCAGTAAAAGACGAATTACGTCTTAGTCAACTGATACGTGCAATCGATTGTAATTTACTTTTTGTAATGTCATATGATCGTATTGCTTATGAAACTTAACAAAACAACCGTTTTACTAGCTGTTTGATTTACGAGACGTAATGACTGTGTAAAACATGGACAAATTACTAACGTGTATCGACCACGTGTGTTCGCTTTACACGAATGGCGACGACGTTTGCGTTACTACCGCTCACTTCTGAGATTTGGTCACGTTTTTACTCTGCCCGTCCCGACCGCTGCATACGAATATATATTGAGCTCTCTCGGTAGACAGCTTCCTGTAAGCGGACCTCGAGACCCGTCACACTCGATCTTCGTCGGTGGCAACGGTTGGGTATTCCCGAAACCAACGTTTACCTTTATAATAGATGTACAACATATTATAGGCGCGCGCGGGTTCGTGTAGTATAGACTTGTCATCGGTATTTTATCGTTTCGGGGGTAGTTTGAAGAAAACGAGACGGAACACCGTTAATAGCTGCCCGATTTATGTGTTAAAACAGCTGTACACGGTTTGTAACCCGATAAATCACTCTAGGAAGCGACGACTCCGGCGAGAGGACGTTCCCTGTACTGTTTGTCACAAATCATATCATAAACGCATACGTACAGCCGATGTGGCCCGGACGATGAAGATGCGAGAAAGACGTGGCGATGAAGAAACAGAAGGGACGGGACGCGATTTCATGTAATTTACGCGGCTACGAAAATAACTGGGCACACGTTTTGGCAAACCCGCTGATACTCGGGACGTGACTTCTAGTCTAACTTGTTTTGGTTGCCCTACGGGTGTTTATCACAATTCAGCCGTTATGCATTTGGCTCTATGGCTACGAAATTGAAATTGCGAATAAATGTTACGTTGGCGTCCTATACACATTGTAACGTCACTTCTATTCTTCATTTGGATGCGCGTAACTGTTGATTTCAGTTTGCCGTTGACATTAACTAAATTATAATAGCAAAAAATAATAACGAGCAATAAAAATTATGTTTAATTAATGTATTTTTTTTGTCTGACGCGTGACGTGTTCTTGTTAATGATATCATAACATGCGTTTTATTGGCGCGAGTAAAAGACCTGTCAAATAATAACTTACTGTTGTAAATGAATATTTTTCGAGGGCAGTATCTACAACGTCTCGCTGAATGGCGAAGACACAGGTTTTTTATTGGCAAATTACTATTTTAAAAGTGTTATCCGAATAAATTTAATTCATATATATATATATGTTATTATGATTCTAGTTTGGGCAGAGACAGGAGACTTTAGAGATAACAATCACCATGGTCTTACTACTGACCACCATTCGTCGCAGCTGAATTTCGGATCATCCAGGAGTAGAAATCGTGATAGGAAAGGTAAATATTAAGTTTTGTTTCTGTGTAATGTTAATTTTTACATGATTATTGTCGGCTTTGATGTTAATGTTTTGATAACAGCCGAGTAAACGTTTTGTGTAATTGATTTAGTAGGTCGACCGGATGCGATAGGTGCCACCGGCATCAAAACAGAAGGCATCGATCAAGGTGTAGGAGTGGTCACTGATGACGTCAAAGACTCCAATATCAAAAACAACAAGAACAACAAAAGACAGAGAAGGCAAAGGACGCACTTTACTTCGCAACAACTTCAAGAATTAGAAGCTACATTTACTAGGAATCGGTATCCTGATATGAGTACCAGGGAAGAGATAGCCATGTGGACGAATCTTACGGAAGCCAGAGTCCGGGTAAGTACATCATTACTATGTGATCCGATTCTATTGCATAATATATGTCTATCTTATACTCTAGTCTTTTAAACATCAACGCAAATGATTATTTTTATTATCCAACTACTGGTTATTGGATTTGCACAGGGCTCAGTGCGTCAACGTTTTTGAATCCCAAACAATCCCCGGGATTGTCCCTTTAGCATCAGTTTGATGCGAGGTAAGGGCAAGCGGCAAATAAAATGACTAACCGATTGGCAAAAAAAAAAAAACACATGCGCGCATAAAGTCGTCCGCACTGATGGGTTAGGGATTGATGTAGGGATAATCCTTTACGGTTTATTTTAATACTGATGTACACTACATGGTTAATTCTGCCGTATCTGAACATTGTCAGGTTTTCATTCGCTACTTTGAATTCTATAGTTTTAACCTCCACGCCCTCCACAAACATTTTGATTGTGTAAATGTTAATCGAATGTCCCCTCTTTTGGCTCCCTATTTTATCCAATTTTCTTACCCATTTCATTTGAACTGTTCTAGTGCTATAACATTATGTATATCTAATCATTCATTATTAGTGTTACAAATTACTATTTAAATCGACTTGTCGATTATATACATACACACACACACATTTATAATATATATACTTTAACTTGTATTTTTCAATACTTTTTTTTTTTATCGACTATTACAATAAAAACTTAAATAAAATATGATGAATGCAACATTTTTATTGGATAGTGAAAATGATGTTTATAGGTTATACACGATTAATACCATTTAAATTACTCAACGACTCATATGAATCGTCTCAAAAGACATATGTCTAAAACATTTTTTTTAAATGTTTGGACAAATGTCCTATTATAACTGAGCTAGGATAACACGTAGGAAATATACGAGGATTATTAACGTAAAAACTAGAAGTTAAAAAATATCGATGACAAAAAAGGTCGCGCAATGTGATAAGCTCATCTAAACACATTCATATGATTACTTAAGCTCTTTGTTTTTGGCAGCATTGTGAAACGCTCAATGTTTTTCATACCCGTGTGCTACAATAGAAATCTAATAAGCGGGTTGACAGACGGTAACTTCTATCCACCATTTTGTTTTCCCTGGATGTCTATGGTGGTTGATGTACTGTATGCCATGGTCTTCGGATGAGGTTTTAACAGAGAGATTATTGTTTTATACGGCCTACGTAATTTAAAACCACATAACCCTATTCGAGTGTTTTTATATAAAAAGTGTAAATATAACTGTTTACAGCAAGTCGCTTAAGTATGACTTTTCAACGGCGTTTAACGCGTCTGACATATCCTACCAACGGTATTGCTGAAATTAAAATTTTATTTACAGAATACTCATTTTAATCACAATGAATAATAAATCTTATTTACTTGAAAAATATCAATATAATAGGCAAAAAAAAAAAAGGATATAATTAACATCGTTAAATAAAGTTTCTGTTGAGAGTAATTTTACGTTTATCGAGCCGTTGATTAAACAATACTCGAAACAGTTTTAAAATTGTTCGGTGAGATATAAGACCTATTTGTGTGTACTGCCAGAGTTATAAAAATACTAGAAAAATACGTGTAATTCTTTTACTTTGTACATGTGTGTTAAACACAAATATTGAATATTTTTCGACCAAATTTTCGAAAAAAACTAAACCTTCAACAATAAACATTGTAATCATTAGGTCGTTTTTAACGCGTAAGTCAACAAACGGCAACTTTTGTAGTCGTACACAATTTTTTGTTATCAGACAAATAAGAGAGCAGATAGGATGACAAATAGTACAAAGAAACATACAGAAATGCTTTTTCTAGTGTCGTGTTTTACAACATGGTAAATACTACAAACCCGACACATAACTACTCGTCGTCGACATGATATTCTCTTGTATATCTATACAAACACACAAGTAATATAACGTAATGTACGCGCACCAACTATGTTACAGTATGTACTTATCTTGTTTATATTGGTGGCAGCGCTGTAATATATTTTACACTTGATAAGCTGTAAAACGTTTTGTGAATTTCAAAGGAAACTGTGAATGGCATAAAAAAATGTTAAGTAAAGCGTATTTATTTTGTATAATCGATCACTCGTACTATATATTTTGTTTATTTTAATAATTGACGGGTAGAGGATTTTTTTTTTTTATACATCTCTTTTGTGTATCGAGTGTAGAATGTCGAAAAAAAAAAACAAGGAAAGTAAAAAGACAATTTTCCAAGTGGTTTAGTAAAAATAAAAAACTAAGAAAAAAATGAATAATACGAAGGACGCGGGGAGAAGTGCAAGATTTATGAGACGGTAAAAACAGACCACCTTTACTCGACGTGATTTATAACCCAACCGCCATTTTATTCGCGTTTTTTTTTTTTATTTGAAAAGCAAAACCGACGCACGTCGTCCTTTCAAATGGAAATTATAAATAAATAATGCAAACGAACCCGTAAAATGTCACAGGAGAATTCGCAAATATAACCCACTGTAAAACTAATATGCCATTCTATGTCACCGGACTACTGTAGTGCTGCGAAGAGTTTAATTTATACTTTCTATCGTCGTTCACTAAGCACATAGAAAAGCCAATGTTTAAAATGAGATTTACTTCAAATTTGTACGCAAAGAGCTCAAAGTTTTAAATAGATTGTGGTCATCATTTCTTAGACCGTAATACGTATGATGTGAGGAAAATTCGTGTCTCTACTAACGCGTTGGTTAAATTTTTTACTGGGCTAATCACTTGTTGGTTTTACTCTCCTCGAATAAACTCCGTCGCCCCCAAAATATAAAATCGAATTACATATTTAATCCCCGAAGGGTTGGCCGTTGTGTTATTGCCATTTCGGGTACAACAAAATGATTTAGGATTAAGATGTCATTTTTGCAATTAACTTAAATAAATTATCAATTGACATGCAAGCCAAGCCGATGTTATTANATTGCCATTTCGGGTACAACAAAATGATTTAGGATTAAGATGTCAGTTTTGCAATTAACTTAAATAAATTATCAATTGACATGCAAGCTAAGCCGAAGTTATTACAAAATATATAATACGTAAACAAATTTATCAATAAAAAGCAAATAAATACTTGATGTATTAAACACTTATAACGCGCATTGAAGCATTTATGTAGGACGCGGATAGTAAGATATACTATGGTCAATTAAGATAAATTATAAAATAATTATGTATTAAAAACTTCTATGAACATTATATATATATATTGAATTTCTTAGATATGCAAAGGTTTTAGCTTGCAAATATTGTTGAAACATGTAAACAGGTTTCGATGAAAACAAATGAGTTTTTGAGATTCAACGAAAACTGACCTTTTTAACAGTAAATAGTTTATGGAATTACAGTGAAAAATAAAAAGAGTTTGAGACATAAATCATATGGGCTTACGAGCATTATCCTTAAAGTAGCTGGGAATTAGTATATAAAGCAGTAGGATCATACTTGCTGTGTGTAGTACACAATACCACATTAGTTTAAACTATTTAATATAGACACACTTGGCTCTGATTTTAAATACTGTTAAGTTGCATTTGATAATCTTCTATTTGACTCAGCAGACAGTGTAATGTGTGAATCGCAATAAGAGCAACTCGAGTTTGATATGAAATGTAAGTGTAAAATATTTAACGTATTTCGTTTTCAATTAGGTGAGTCTGGTGGTTAGAAATGTTGTCGGTATATTCAAATACTATCAGTTTTTGCACTGTTTGAACTGTCTCGCAACGATTTTTCTACACAATAACAAATCGATTTCTCTTGTCCGGAAACGAACGACATTTTCTTGAAACAGTCTACGCTGCAACTTTATAAATGTATGGAAGTGCTTGGAGCTGTGTGTACTTGCAGTGGACAGAAACCGCGCAGTGATGAAGCAAACATAACGGGAAGTGAGGCATATTGGGAGACGACCAGGCATGTAATATAATCAAAGCGCACAAACGGGATTACAGGCCAAATATAGTGTTACAAAGGGGGCCCGCAGCGGATTAGGATACATGTTTGTATTGTATGGGCAACGAGCGTCGCAAGTCGCGTGGCACGGGGAGGGTTTGTGTGCAAGTCGGTTTTGACGAATGACTTGGTTTATGGCCGTGGACAAGTTCAATTAAGTCTGGCCCACCATTGCCGCCGGTCGTCTTTTGACCCCTGTTCCTCATATCGCATAGAATTCTGCATCTTACACTTATTCCCACTACGTCCCAGCGGGGAGCTCAGTTTTATTGGTATTCACCCGAGCGCCGACGCTATTCCTTCATATTGCCTCGTTCGACGTCCGCACGGTCGGGATCATCCGCTTAAGTCCTCCTCCCTACATCTAGAAACACAATAAAACAACCTATTGCACGTCTTCCCCTCGTTATGCCAATCTTCATTCTCCACCTGCTTCAAGTCGGGTTACGGTTGTTTCATTGCAGCGCGGCCGCAGATATTCACATTTGCACAATTATTATTATTATTGTTATGGTTATATCAGTTCTACGATACCTACTCATGCCCAGTAATCCACCACGTCGTTCTTCAACAACAATTGTTAACCAAATACAAGACGAATCTCGACCTATCGAAATGCAATTACATTCCCCCAATAACGACTGTATGGGAAATCATGAGTAGAATTCCATTATAAGTCGGTGTGCAAACAAAAGGGAGGGACGTTCTCGAGCCGGCCACAACACAGAGACCGTCAAACGCATAACTTTATGGTGATAAAAAACCTCATAATTAGACGACCTGTTTTTTACCAGTGCAATTCAAACCAAAATAATAACTTGCATCCAAAGAAAGCAAACGAAATTTATTCGTCGTTCAATTTTGTCGTGCACAGTTATCGAGTAAATTTTGCAGGCAATTAGTTTCGACAAACAATTTAGGGGAATTACAAAGTGATTAATTGAAAATCTACCGAACGGCATATATCATTCAATTAAATTTCGGTTGAAGTAATCGCAAATACAACAAAGTTTCAAACGTTTCATTAAATGTTCACATTTCGATAATTTAATATTATGCTGCAGGCTAGTTGACTTTGTCTTGACAAACACTATTGGCTTGAATTGCATTGCAAAACTGGAAAACAGTATTTCTCATACATAACTTAATCCCGAGTACAAGGAAAATTACCTCCCCCCCCCCAAAAAAAATCCGTATAGTTTTTTGTATTTTTATCATCAAGTGTCCTTTGCGTTGTGTGGTCTGGATAACGGCCAGCATGACCGCAAAGGCATAGCCGTTTTGTCGATCGATCTGAACGCGGCCACTCGTTTATTTGTGTGTATTGTTACGGCACCACGCGCCCATCGAACGGGGTGCGACTCCTCTCCCTTTCCATAGGTTTTGGCAAAAAAGAATCAATTTATGACCCGACGAGATTTAAAACGGTGTCGGGGTGTTTTTCGATATTTTATTTTTAACCACACGTGCCGCCGTTTAACCCCCTTAGTACATATTATTATACTGTGTTTGTGTATATATATTATTAATGCAGTTATTACTATTGTATTGCCGTCGCGCAATAACAATATATTGTCCGTGTGTACAAAGTTAATACGTTAAATCTGTTTAAATTAACGCATTACACGTGATAAAGTACCGTTTGAGTCTGCGAGAGTACGTATTATAATATTATTTTGCGTTTCAACTGTGAACCCGCTGTTAGGTGCACAGTGGTAGTTTGTTATTAATGGCAACCAATATCTGTTAATCCACAGAGAATGAAAAATTGGTCGTGAAAAAACTGCACCGTTAACCGGGTAAATGTTTCGCGTCATCGGAGTCGTGTTATTTATTTAATTTTTTGCATGCGCGTGAATTAAAATTAATTTCCGATTTTATTATCATATGCGATATAATATTATATATTCAATTATTGAATGATTGTCATTTTATCTCGATTTTGATATTATTTCTTTGACATGAAGTAGTTGAATAATGTTTCAATTATACCGAGAAACCGATTGGTGCAACGCCCAAAAACAACTATCAAGATCGTTAACGGAAGAAAAATAACGAAACTTTAGCAGAATCATTAAGTGTTTTAAAAGATTTAGGATTAAAATTATTCATTTAATTTTTCTCAACGAACACAATTATATGTATGCTTTTTTTAGCTGCGACAAATTAAAGTAAAAACTAACAATTCTAGTATTTTGTATAACCTCTGAAGTAAATAAAAACTCAATCAAGTTGTGTTGCACCCTAAGAAATAAATCATGGCGTTTTGTTGGATTTACATATTTGTTTTTTGCTAACATATTATGTATTTAGTTTTGTTTTAATAATTTGATTTTACTAAAATAAAAATCTCATAGAACAAGCACAACATCTGGTTACTATATAATTAAGATTTAATAATATTCTTAGTTTTTTCTCTTTTATATTTTGTTAATACAATATTTTATATAATAATATGATTTGCATTTTTTCAACTTTCGATTAATAACCAAACTAAATTTTGTGATGCGTATTTAAAATTTTGTTGACAATAATAAAGTATCAATAATAAATAAATAATAAATTCATTTGTTTAGAAATAATATTTACAAATAGAGAACATTATTACACCAAAAGGACATGAACCCTATTGCATTTAGCGATTCAAAAACCTACAACAATCAGCCGGTTGGCGTTTTTATTAATAGTAAATACAATTTAAAAGTTTTGAAATTATGACATTAGTGTCATAATTTTCATAATTCATTAAGTACAATTGAACTTACTGAATTATTATTTTAAGCTTTTGGTAACCTTGTAAGATCTACTTGACACAACTTCGATGTTGACCACATTGACGTGACTTGCTTTACTATATATGTGAGCTACTTATGGGCGGAGCTTATGTGCTTAGCGTACCGCGGTCCTTTTGCTTTTGCCTTATCCTGTGTTTCCTCCCCTGAATTTACGGGTTGACCCGGTTGGGTAATGAAGATTAACGAGCTTTCTGATTGATGCTGACAACACAGGGTACCCTCCTAGCTCATTATTTACCGGCGGCGGTGTCTGCGGTTCTCCTCTCACCACAGTGGCAATGGTGATAGTGGTGGCATTCACGTTATGGCCAGCCCATCAGCCCCTAAGATTAATGATACGGCACAAGAATTGTCCCCTTCCATTTATAACGTATAATAATACAACGTAAAACCTCCGTTTTGCTGCCGCAAGGAGTAGTCGAGTAAAATATTTTTCCACATTTTATTGTCGAGATACTTCAGATAATATTAAGTAATTTTGAGTCTTTATACGCGGATAAAATTTATTGTCTAGCAAAGCAAAAATCATTTGTTTTTTTATTAAAACAATCAAGTTATCCCATTATTTTTTGGTTTGTTTTTTTTTTGTATTCATATTATCTTAAGAATCCAAGTACAGTGAACGATTTTTTATCATATTGTTTATAAATCAACTTTTCAATTATATAATTTAACAAATTTTTTTTTGTATATTACTTAGGTATGGTTCAAAAATCGAAGAGCTAAATGGAGAAAACGAGAAAGAAATGCAATGAACGCTGCAGCAGCTGCAGCTGTTGATTTTAAAAACGGGTTCGGTACGCAATTCAACGGCCTCATGCAGCCATTTACTGATACGGACTCATTGTACAGCACAGCATACACGTCGTACAACAATTGGGCGACAAAAGTGAGTTTTATTTAAACAAATTAGTTATATTTTAATTATTTATTTGTTAGGAATTTTAATTTTAAATTTAATTAAAAATCAAACGTTGTAGTGTTTATTTTTATAGAAATACTATTCGGTTTTATTCTGTAGGTACCTAGTCCATTGGGATCGAAAACATTCCCTTGGTCTGTGAACCCTTTGGGTTCGGTAAATCATCACCATCATCAAGCTCCGGTAAACTGTTTTAATGCAGCTACGTCAGCAGCCGGCTCTATGTTATCTTCTCCAGCCCCCCAAAATGGACCTCCATATTGTCCACCTACAGCACCATACTCTGTGTACCATCATAGGCCTGCTGAACCCTGTAATGTCATGTCTAGTAGCATTGCCAGTCTTCGACTCAAAGCCAAACAGCATGCCTCTGGTTTTGGGGGATACCAACCGGTTGGGTCGCCGGGCTCCCTTGGCGGACCAAATGGCAATTCTATAAACGGAGGTAACAATCGATCATCGTCATCGTCATGTCAATACGGTAGTACGAACGGAGCAGGCGGAACCGGCGCGGGCGGTGGCAGTGGAGGTGGCGGAGGCGGTAATTCTGGTAGTGAAGGTACAAGGACACCTGTCTGACGTGAAGAGCGCACCGGAGGAAGCGTCCGGTATACGGTCGAGGACCTATTAGATTTCAAAGAAGAAATGGATGGTGCAGACGAAGACGACGAAGAAGAAGAAGAGGAAGATGACAGAGGCATGAACAATCAGCATCACCATCACCATCAGCTGGACAGTGGTGTTAAACACGATTTGATGCAAATGCAAACGGCTACTGCAGTTGCAATGCTCTAATCTTCCAATTCCTACACGGTACATACAAATTTTAATTTTTCTCAACTCCTAGTGAATCTTTGCGACTGCTTCTTCATAAATTTTCAGTTTCTATAATATTATTTAATGTAAATAAAATTATAATTAGGTAACTTTAGACTTTTTTCGATGTATGCATAATTTTCCAATGTAAATATGATATTGAAAATAATTAGTAAAAATAATCAAATAATTGATTATATATAATGTACAGTGTATACGATATATTGTTTTGTTTTAAATACCTGCTAAGTATGGCAATAAAGGAAATCATCCATCTAGTCCAGTTTAAATTTATCACATAGAATTAGATTTAAAATATGTTTTTTTCGTAAGATGTGTAAATATATACAAATTTTGAGGGGTATAATGTATTTCAATTTTTATGAGTAAAATGTATAGAAAATTATACGATTAAACGCCAAAGTTAAATCCAAACAGAACTAAAAAATATTGCTTAAATTGTATTACAAAAAGTAAAAATATTCGGCCATCCATTGTATCCGTATAAAAAAAAATGTTTCATTGGTATCAGTTGAAATGTTTATAAATATTTTAATTAGTAAAAAATACACTGGAAAGTGCCTGTCAATATTATTTAACATGATTTCTACTAAACATTAATATGTAATTTTTGTACATTTTGCAAACAATAAAATCTGTACTAAATTGACAGTATAGTTGATTTGTATTATAATCATGTAGTTATGTGAATGTTTAACTTTTTTTTTTTTTGTTCGAGGTTTTATTGTAATGTCATGAGTGTTAAAATACATACATTTTTAAAACATAAACAGTATTAAATTTATTTTAGACAGCCAAAGTGGTATTGTTATAAATTTCGCTATATTATGTAACTGACAAGAAAACAATATCCATACGATACTTTTTTCTTGTGTAGACATTATGGCGTACTCCTTTTATCCGTTTAAAGCTATTAGAGAAAATTGATTTTCATTGCTATTGCATAATAGCCCATTGGTGTGGATCTAATGCTATGCCAACTTAATAATAAATTCATATTATTATATTTTCCTGATTCGTTGAATTGGTTATTGTTTCACTATTACTATAATAAAACAAAAATAGTTTACAAATGGCGATAAAAAACGCAGATTGAACCATTCAATATATTATTAAAGAAGCCATATTGCACGTATATTTTGTTCACAAAAGTAAATAAAAGAATACAATTGGGTAAGGGCATTAAACATGATTTTATTGTATTGAAAAATTTTAAATAATAAATATTTTAGATATTATTTAAAGAGATACACAATAAAAAAATATCATTTGAATAGATAATACATTTAATTTTTATTACATGATATATTTTTTTAAATTTATTATCTAGGACAATGCCATATCAACACAGTTATTTTAAAAACTTTTTTAATGCACATTATCAAAGCAATAGTAGTATAAAATTAAGTAAAATAAAATTTATTGTTACTCTTTGTAATATTGATATTACATAGTATTATATATATAGTAAAATATAATATATTTTAATAATATTTGAAAAATTCCGACTTGTGTTCAGAAAATAACGTGAATTTTCGTTTTTTGAAAAAAAATTTATTTATTCGTCTACATTAATGTTGTCACCTTTTAAAAAATACCCATTAGATATTATACACTAGTGCTAACGCTTCTTCCAATCTTCGAAACATTTCTCAAACTTGATCTTTGGGATAACCTTTAGTTTATTCAGCGATGCGCTTTTAATGTCATCTTTTAATGTCGCTTGTAAAACAACAGACCTCTATGGTTCTCTTTTTTTCGGAAATAGAAAAAAGTCACATGGAGTCTGGAGCATCGTTACAGTATTGTTTTTTGTCAAAAATTCACGAATAAGCAATGAAGTGTATGCAGGTGTTTTATCGTGGTGCAAAAACCGTGAATTGTTTTCCCACAAATACGTGAATTTTTTTCGGATTGCTTCACGCAAATGGCGTTGAACTTGTGGTAGTACTCTTTATTAGGCCGTTTGATCTCTTGCCAAGAATTCATGATGCACTATGCCATTAAAATTAAAGAACACTGTGAGAATAACCTTCACCTTCGATCGCACTTGTCAAGCCTTTTTCAGTCTTAGTAATCCAGAATGCTTCTTCTGAGGCGATTGAGCCTTAGTTTTGACGTCGTATCCAAAAACCAATGTTTTGTTACCTGTTATAACACGTTTCATCAATTCTGCATCGTCATTGACTTCATTAAGTGACTCCTGAAAAACTTCCGTTCGCTGCTGTTTTTGTTCAAAATTCAATAATTTTGGAACAAATTTTCCTGTTACGCCTCTCATTGCGAAGTTGTTAAAACTCAGATGTTTGACACCATTACCACAAGATCTCATACAGTCCACTCACCACTATCAACAACTTCATTTAATCAGTTGAGTTTTGTACTATTTTTTAATATTTTTTATTATTTTGTTTTAAATGATTTTAACTATTTGTTTTATGTCGCTTCGTCAGCCATTAGTATTTAAGGCCCCTGCTTCCCCTTAAATTTTCTCTACCAAACACGTTTATAACCATTTCTTTCACTTTATCCATTTATTCATCGGTTAATGATGTGCTAGGGCGTCTGTCATATTCAACGTCTTCACGGCCATCTCGAAAACGCTTATACGAGTCGTAAACCCTTGTTTTACTCGTGGCAGACACACCATAGGCTTTTGTTAACATTTCACACACTTTATTAAACTTTATTTCATTTTTTACGAAAAATTTGATACAAATCCTATAATCCATTTTTTTTTTACAAACGAAAATCGCTGAAGTCATAAAAACACGTCTAATTTTAGCGACTTCCACTGACAAAGTAAAAAATGAATCCAGCTAAAAATTGAATTATACTTCAGGGACATGTGTACAAACATTTTGAAAAAAAATTTTGATAATCAGACTCTCCAGAATTCTTGTTAATTTCTAAGCACACGCCGTACATAGCAGTTTATTTTTAATTGTATTTTAGCATTACATGCTGAAAAATATAAATTAAACAAAAATATGTTAAGCTAATCAATATCATACTTCATGCAACTTTATAAACAACGTAATGTGACATTATATTAACGTTTATATTGTTGTCATTAAAAATTAAAAGATAATACCTTTTAAATTCAAAGGGATAATAAAAAATAAACAAATAACTCATAAATTAAAAAGTGTATAAAACGATCAATTATATTTTGATATCTTAAATTATTTTTGATCCGGTGAATATATTTCTTAAGGGGCACACCTAGTGTAACAACCTAAAAAAAGGCCATTTTTGGGAATTAAAAAAAAAAAAAAACTAGCGAATCCATCTATTTAAAATTTTGAGGGTATATTTATACATGTTTTGAGAATACACGGTAAAATTTTTGAAATAAAATATTAAATATTTTTGAAATGACACGCGATCTCCGGCGGCGCCAAAAAAAAAAGGTCCTCCACTGCTAGAGTGATTGCAGCCTTCTCCGTTGATAAAACCTAAAAAAAAAAATTCTCGTTAAACTAAAACATATTGTCTGTACGATGACCCTCGGGCGAACAAAAAAATCAAAAATTAACAAAATGGCGGCATTTTGAAAAAAAAAGTTTAATTTTTCCCAAAATTTTGGTCGATTTTGGCCTGCCAAAATTCGATTTTTGATCAGATCAAAAAACTGGAGGGTCATCGTATGGAGAACTATATAGAGGAGATGCAAAAAAAAATTTGATAGCGATCAGATCATTTGTCTCCGAGTAATCACTCCAGCAAATTCGAAAAATGCTGTTTCGAGAAAAATGCGTTTAAAGATAAAATTATCGTTTTCACTGTTATAAATGGATTAAAATCATACTTACAGCTAATCTGCTATTCCAGGCCCATATAATTCACCTTCCTCTTCCTCAAAAAGTGCTTGTTGAGCTGAAGAAGCTCTTCTTCGAGATGATCGACCCTCTTTTGAACAAGCCCGTTGGCGATGATCAGCGATTCGTAGTCTCGTCTCGTTCTTAAGAGCCGTATAATCTCTTGCTGCAGGTCCAACTTTTACTCCCATTGCATTAAATATCTTTAAAATTGAGGAGTAACCGTCATTGAATATTGAAGTTGCAAAAAAATTTGCTAATTCAATAGTTTTCAATCCATTATGAAGGTGCTTTGGTGAAAAGTGCCAAAGTAAACCGTTGTAACTTTCATTATTATTTTGAGTATTATTACCTTTGCATCTATCAAGCAATTCATGCCGAGATAAATCTTCATAAATAGGCTTTAGACCTTTTTCAACTTCTGGATCCAGTGGGAGGTAATCGTGCTTAAACTTACTTCAGGTATATCCCGTAGCCAATGCAACTATCTAACTGCCGAGCGGCTACTCTTTTAAATGGCTGTAACTCAAAAACTATTTAAGATATCGATTTAAAATTTTAGTATGTTATTTTTAAAGGTATAACCTATCAAAATATGGGGGGAAAAAAAAATCGATTTTTTGAAAATTTCACACTAGGTGTGCCCCTTAAATTTGTTTAAAAATAATTTTTACAATTTTAAATTACAATAAAAGCATTTATTTTTAATTGTTTGTCTTTAATAAGAGAAGAATAAAACGTATTTTTTATTTTTTCAATATTTTAAAATAGCTATTTTTTTAGATCTTTTCAACCTATTGAGTTACAAACATTTTAATACATCTAATTGTTATGTATTGCGGCGGATACATCTCTTATAGTGTATATTTTTCATCCATACTATGCATTCTCAACCCATCAGAAATTATTTTTAAGACAGAGTTACAAAATGGCTATTTATAAATTTCGAAAAAATTAAAAAAAATTGTCTACTTAGTAATAAATAATTAAGAATATGATTTATTAATATACACTGCATTGTACAAAGTTACATAACTTTTTAATTTTGCTTTATTTATTACTAAGTCTGTTCAAAAAAGTTCTCATCAAATAAATATGCGTGTTTTGTGGTATTTTATAAAATGATAAATTGAATATGTCTGTATAAATCATCAATTTTTTTTTTTTTTTTAATTACTTACTTGGTCCTTAAACTTTTTCCTAATTAATATGTCTTATACATCATATTATGAACCAAATAAAAAATACTTCAAGGAAAAATAATATTTACTTTGCAGTATATAATAAATCTATGCATATACACCAGAAGCTGATATGTCAATTTAAAAATTTATCAAGAGTACAAAAGCAAAATTTTAGTAGTGTCTTAAGGAAATTGATATTTTTAAAGTGTGAAAAACAAATGTTCCTTATAAAAATGACTCGTGATTTTTTGGTAATGACACATAACATTTTAAAATAAAATTATAAAATAATATCAATAAACCGAATTTGTGATATATCAGCTTTTGGGTATGATCCATAGATATAAATTATAATTAATAAAATTTTGATAAATTATTACTTTAAATCATTTTTTTAAATAGTTGTTAGTAAATTAATTGCACATAATTTTCTGATAATAAATATATTATGTCCAATAATACAACTTCAAAAAAAAAGAAATGTATAATGGTTCCATTATAAATGTTTATTTTACTTTGGAAATAACGAAACATAATTCGTTATTGTTACACAGTATATGGCTCTCATACACTATTTAACAGACTATAATGTTTTATGCAAAACCATAAAAGAGTAATTATTAATATTGAGTTCATTCATTCATTACAGGGTCTGTTGGGTCGTTAATAATGAACTAATGGTGACGCGTCGTTTTGTTTAACACCCTCCGCATTAATATATAGAAATACACAAAATCCCTTTTTTAAATCTTTTAACATATTTTCATTTTATTGGTTATTTATTTAATGTATCCGATTTCAATTAGGCCAAACCATTAAAACGATGGCAGTAGTGACTTAATAATTAGTGGCTGGGTTATTATTTTATTTTATATCAATGTGTTTTTTATTCAAAGGGATTGAAATCGATTAACTAAATGAAAAAAAGGGGAAGGAGAGTGGATGAAATAGTGCCAGGAGCCAAAGTGTAGTGCGTTCGTATAACCTGGGCAGAGAGAAAAAACAGCTTTTGCAATAAGCGAAGGTCTTATAGGTACCTAGAGGATTAAGTATAAGCCTGTATAGTCCCACAGAATGGTCGTCGTTCGTTTTAAGTAAATTCGCTCACACGGCACTATATACCCCCACAACACTTTACCAAGAGATTTTTATACTATTATTGTTATTGCAACCATCATTGTTGTCAACGTTTGTTCACTTGACAACCTGTTATTTATCTTTCATAGTTCATAGATAATTTACGAATATTTAAAAATATTAAAACTTGTTACAAATAAATTTAGCTAAATAAATAATGAAAAAAAATATACTAATATTTAGATTTAGGGTAGTGTAATTTAGGCACAATTTCAATATTTCCCTAGAAAAGTTTTAAAATATTTACAATTGAAGTATTTACATATTTTGAGTATGTCAAAATTTTTGGAAAGGATGAGTTTTAGCCCCTCTGAGTTCTCCTCCCAATTTATCCCCCTATGAATATACTTAATGTCATCTTTGAATAAAAAATTATATTTTGAATGCTGAAATCTTAAAAAGACGTTGTTTTATTTAACAGCAAATCTATTTTTTTTTAATATCAATAACGTGACGTATGACAATCTTAGGATTTGATTTTTTCTATTAAAAGTGGTATTTATTTAATACTAACAAATATGAATGTATCTTTGTGTTTTGCGATTTTTACAGATTTCGTATTTCATATGTGTCTTACCACCAAAAATTATCTGTTATAATGTTTTAATAACTATCAACTGTATAATTATACTAAATATAATAACTATAATTATAACTTGTACTAAATATGTAAATATTACCTTTAAAAAAAAATATTACGATAAATTTTATGTAATAAAATTATGCGGTTGGTAAATTTTTTCTTTGCGCATTTATGTGAAATAACTGTAAGAGCTACAATTACAAAAATGATAATAATAATTGTTATAGTACAGAATATCACAAACCATTTTATTCTATCCCTGAACTACATTTTCACGTGAAAATGTATATTTTTCCGCTTTAGTTATTTTAAGGCTGTTTTTCGCTCCGTTTATCCGCAGAATTGATTGTTAGAAAATCCGGGACAACCCGCAAAAGTCAAGAAAATAACAAAATATAAACTTGCTGCGAAATACCGACAGCAATTCTATACTCTATCGCGTCGTCCACCAGCTGTATAAAAAAAAATTAATGTGTCTTGAGAAAAACAACGAAAGAGTGAAAAAGAAAGAAGTAAATAATTTGAAAGAAAGAGAGAGATATAAATAGAAGATGGTAAAAAATCCTATGGGACGAATGCCGCGAAAATAACGCAATGGGAGCTGAGGGATAGAAACAAGACAAAATGGCGTTTTGAGGGTTCTTTCGATGGCGCGTGCGTGTGCTTGTGTATGAAGAAGGACGACACTAGGATGGGTAGCTTAGAGATAAAGCCCGGCCGAACAGAAATTGGATTCAATACGAAGGGTGTTACTATAGTTACTGGCGTGTGTCGGTTGCATTGCGAAGGTAGTTCCCCTTCGACCTACTACTCCAACTTTACATTCACCTTCCCCTTTTACATTGTAGGTATATATATAAGTTTCCACTGACTACAACGTCTCCGTCGACCGCCGGAACACGGGTCGTTTTATAATTATAAGATATAGCTAGTAGTATGTGTTCAGTGTTCAGCGTGTGTAAGTACCCCAACCCTATCCATTACCTGTTTTATGGTCTGGGAATAGCAAACCGGCTGTAAAAAGTTTGTTTTCAACTTAAACTACCAAAAACATTTTTTTTTACATTGCTGTCTCGACCACAAATTTTATACATGTCGTATACAAGCAGGACTGTTCGACTTGTTTTTTAAAATATATTTATTCATTTTTTAGAACATCATTATTGTACGCGTTTTAATTTTACACGAGATATTTCAGTTCAATGACACCTTCACACTCGGTTATTTTTTTCTATTAAATTTTAATTACTATCGCAAAAGATAAAATTCTTATTATACATTATGTATATATATTTAACTAAAATTCTAAATAAAAATGTAAAATCCCTAAATAGCTTATACTTCTTACTACTAATGGAAAATATATTAATTTGCCCTCTTAATTTTTTTCTTTATTAATCTATTTATATTTTTATTTAATGTCGATTTATTAAAAAATATATTACATCCTTATTTATTTCACACATTTTACTCATTTTATATGTTAATGGTCTTGACTTTTGAAACATCTTTTGAAACTAACTTAGTTTTTAATTTTTTTGTTTGCACGTTAATGATTCAAATTTTTAATTATATATTTATTTATTAATACATTTTCGTAACTTGAATTAAAAATTTTCAATAATATTAACTTTGATTAAGTGCAGTATTGTTTAAACGTATACAATATCAGCCAAATTAAACATCATATTCATAATACTTATATCCATAAAAGATATGTATTAAACTAATTAAGACTTATTTGTTTAGTAATGGAATAATAAAAGATAAGTTACGTAATCTACAAATTGGTTTAAAAGCAATAAAACATTTCATTGCTTATTCAAGTTGATAGATTTATCATAAACTACTCGGTTTTTTATTTTTAAGCTAATTAAATATGTCATTAAAAAAAATAAAGTTTATATTCCCTTTATTATATAGTTTATACAAGTTATGAAGGATGATTCTAATTATTAGCTTAAAATAGAATAAATAAATAAAATAAAATAAAATAAATCAAGAAATATATGTAACTAAATAAAATTAAAATTTTTTCTCCAACATTATATTTATTTTGAAATTAATTGAGTGGTCTATGATAAACATTTCACTTTGTATAAACCTATACAGTGTTCAGTAACTATGGAAACGGGTTTCTATTGTTTTCATTATTTGTAACAATTGTCTGTTTCCTTACTTACTGAACATTCTGTATAATTTCGAAACATTGTCAAAAACTATAGTACTATAAATGTTTAAGAAAGTTAGTCTGCGTTTCAAAAGGGAAAACATTCTCAAGATAATAAATAATTTTTACTTAATTTATAACATTGAGTGTTTAATAAATAAGAATAAAATAAAAAAAAACTTTTACATAACTATTAAATATTGAAATTCTACCATTTTACAGCTTTTTTAAATTTATAACCTACATTAACTCCTATAACAAAAAAAATTGTTGTAAATGAAATTCTGAAATTTTATAGGAATATATATACCTTTTTTTATACTCATATAATCCTAGAGTTATGGATACTGTCATAGATTTGTATGTGATACATTTCTTTAATTTTCATAAATTTTATATGATAAAATTTCTAAAAAATCAAGTAATTAGTATTATTTGTCAAACAAATATAATGACAAAATACAACATTTTAATATGCTACTAAATAATTTTGTCTATAAAATTTTGAAGATTACTTAAATAATACTAAAAAATACTGGGCCAATCCATGCCAAATCATCCAAAAGTGGTTG